AGGCACTGATGACGGCAAACTTGGCAGTTTACCGTGGCCGGTAGTGCTGATACACCACACCCTTCGGCTAGTAGTACTCCTTCATGAAGGTGGACAGCATGTGGGGATATAAGAAAAGTGATTATCAACTGTAAGTATCGTTGTATTTATAAAGTTATCTTATTAATATCACGTAAATCCAATAGAAAACCATCATGCCCATGAAGCTGACACTTATAAGTAACTTTCAATTATCATACACACATATATACTTGTACATATTCATTATTAGAATAGAAAAGAAAATCATTTATTCAAATAAACTTAATTTAAGCACTTTTGAATAGTCAACATTTTTTTAAATCTACCGCTTATTCGGAAAGCTGTCTCATCACAAGAAGAATAAGCAAGAAACTTGTGTGTTGCTCTTTTAAACAATCCTTGTAAGTTCACATTTTACAAGTCGAAACGTGTGAATACAAACTACCAACCAGCACTAATTTATTTAGGCTCAAATATAAAAACATAATAAGATTAAATCAGTCGTAGTGATAAGAGCAGACCAGTCCCTACAAGCAGCACTCGTTCACGAGTATGACGGATGAGCCATTTATAGATATTATATATTTTTATTAGATACCCTTGTTGTGAATTTGAAATAAGCTGTAACTGCACTAAGAGAATATGGAAGTCCTAAATAATATAGGAAGGAAGCAACGCCGGTATTTCAAGGAAACGAGCATTAACTTCCGTCCCATATTTGCAATTCGCATGAATATAAATATTTACACAAGGAACAAACATGTCCTGCTGCAGACTGGGTCACCAGTTACCATGTTCAGGAGTAGATCTTTTATTTATAAATATTGCAAGGACCCTTCTTTCGTACACTTTTTAAGCAATGGAATCGTAAGCTCACGGCCCGCCTTATTGTAACTGACAATCATTGTGTATACACGAATAACAACGTACATATATATAGGTAATATAATATAATAATATTTATTATTAAATTATTAATTCACACAGCGCCGTCTATAAATCAAAGTTAAGCTAGACAAAGCTTGTGTTATGGGTACTAGTTAACTGATACAAAAACAAATTCAAATTCAAAAATCATTTATTCATGCTGATTTATTTAAATAAATAAACACTCTGCCTTACCCCTGATGGTCACGGGATCGATTCCTCACGCGATGCAAACCTTTATATTCATGAAAAAAGGTATTTTGTGTGTATTGTGTAAGCATTTACAAAAAATCCCTATCTAAGTATTTATATCTATTGTCTAATATCCATAACACAAGCTCTGCTTAACTTGGGACTAGATGGCGCTGTGTGAATTGTCCTATGTTTTTATTATTATTATTTCTTATTTAAGTATTTCTCTCAATTGTCATAACACAAGCTCTGCTTAACTTGGAACTAGATGGCGCTGTGTGAATTGTCCTAGGTTATTATTATTTCTTAATTAAAGTATTTCTCTCAATTGTCTAGTTCCCATAACACAAGTTCTGCTGGGCTTGGGACTAGATGGCGCTGTGTGAATAGTCCAGGGTTATTATTATTATCACCACATTACAATAAGAAAATAACTCCTACCTTATTATTTTGACGGCCTCGGTGCTCTAGCCTTACTTCCGATGGTCGCGCGTTCGATTCCTTGCACGGCACAAACATTTTTATTCATGTTTGTATCGGTCTAGGTGTTTTCTATGTATAATATATGTCTGTAGTTACGAAAAAAAATTATCTATGTACTTGTATCAGTTATCTAGTACCCACAACACAAGCTTTAGCTAGCTTAACTTGGGTCTAGATGGCGCTGTGTGAATTATCCTGAGATTATTATTATTAAATACTTATTGTATGGGTATAATGTTATAATGAAATAATTAAGTAACATGAAGCAGCAGTTTAATTATGACCAACCAACAAAATACTGGCAGTAACCAGACGCCGCACTTGTAAGACTGCAGTTAATAATCTGTAACGTGATGCACGGTATTACATACCAGAACATTCTTTGGAATTTAGTGAATAGCAATTTGAACTGTTCAGACTTGTTGAATATAGTTATGTATCATTGGAATGATATCGATATGAGAAGAACTGACAAGAAACTCGGCACGTATTATTTTCAAATATATGTTATACATGTTTACAATATTCATCATCATCATTCATCATCGCAGCCCGGAAGACGTCCACTGCTGGACACAGGCCTCCTCCAAAGATCTCCACGACGATCGGTCCTGCGCTGCTCGCATCCAATGCCTTCCAGCGATCTTGACCAGATCGTCGGTCCACCTTGCTGGAGGCCTTCCCACGCTGCGTCTTCCGGTCCGCGGTCGCCACTCGAGGACTTTACTGCCCCAACGGCCATCTGTCCTTACAATCTGTGTTTACAATAATACAGATTCATTTTTAAATTGAATCAGGAAGCAAGTAGTGACTACCAGTATAATATAATTATAAAGTATTATTAGTTGACCCCACAAACTTTGTTTTGTCATATAAATCGGTATTAAAAAATAGGGGTTGGTGATAGAAGGGTGAAAATTTAAAGTTGTATGTATTTTTTAATGTTAAATTATAAGAATTTAAAAATAAACAAATTAATCGAAAAAATAAAACACTTTGGGATGAACTACCTTAAAACTTAGGGGTATAAGAATCATTACATCGCTGTCTGTCCGTCCCTATGTATGCTTAAATCTTTAAAACTACGCAACATATTTTGAAGCCAACAGCATTAGAGTAGTCCGAAAAAATAATTTTATGCAGTTTCAGCAATATTTAGAGTGTTTCAAGAAGGATCATATTTTTGTTTTTGTTTTTGTGTACTGCAATCTGTCAAACTTGAACATTGAGTTGTGTGTTTGTTGTGTTCTTGCTTATGGCATGCTCGGTATGTGTCACACACATCCTACTTCATTACATAGTATAAAACAAATTCGCTGTCACTGTCTGTCCGTTCCTATGTATGCTTAAATCTTTAACTCGGCACGTATTCTTTTCAAATAAATGTTAAACATGTTTACAATAATACAGACTCATTTTTAAATTCAATCAGGAAGGAAGTAGTGACCACCAGCTTAATATAATAATAAAGTATCATTAGTTGACTCCGCAAACGTTGTTTTGTCATATAAATCGGTATTAAAAAATAGGGGTTGGTGATAGAAGTGTGAAAATTTAAAGATAATAAAATTTAAAAAATAAACGAATTTGTCGAAAAAATAAAACATTTTTGGTACGAATCACCCTAAAACTTAGGGGTATAAGAATCATTACATAGTATAAAACAAAGTCGCTGTCGCTGTCTGTCCGTCCCTATATGCTTAAATCTGTAAAACTACGCAACGGATTTCGAAGCGGTTTATAGATGCAGTGATTCAAGAGGAAGGTTTATATGTATAATATACTAGCTGTCCCGGCAAACGTTGTTTTGCCATATAAATTAATAACGCTATAAAAAAATAGGGGTTAATGATAGAAGGATGAAAATTTAGGATTGATTATTTTTGTATGTTATCATAAAAAAATAGAAACTAAATCCCTAAGTATGCTTAAATCTTTAAAACTACATAACGGATTTTATAGCGGTCTTCTTTAATAGATAGACTGATTCAAGAAGTTTTATATGTATAATACATGCATAATATTGTAGAGAAACACTGATAAATTTAGAGGTTTCTAATGCGGTAAAAAACTACGCAACTGATTTTGTAGCCAACAGCATTTGAGTAGTCCGAAACAAAGAGATCGAAATTTTTTTTTTCTCTTTATTTATTTAGGAGCTTAGCACAATAGTGAACATGTTAGCTCCGTGTTGTCTTCTTAATCAATTACATAACATCTACACTTTAAATTACTATAAAAACAAATCTACTTTTATCTACTTATCTATTATATATATATATCTTATACTATCTGACGACCTCGGTGGTCTAGCGGTCTAGTGCACTTTACAACCGATGGTCGCGGGTTCGATTCCTCGCACGGCACAAACAATTCTACTCATGAGTTGATTGTATGTATCGATCTGGGTGTTTTCTATGTATAATATGTATGTATTTACAAAAAAAAATATCTATGTATATATGTATCAGTTGTCTAGTACCCATAACACAAGCTTTAGATAGCTTAACTTGGGTCTAGATGGCGCTGTGTGAATGTCCTGAGATTATTATTATTATTATTATTATCTATTTTATCTACAAATTTTTCAAAATATATTTAAATGATGACAGACTCCTATTAGTTATTTAATACATTATTCATACACAAAGCTCATTGTTTGGGGGACGTGACACACGATACCGCTGAGACAGACGGACAGACGTATCGATTCCGACCACATGCTATATTATAATAAGCGATCGTGATGAACAGACGTGACAAATGACATCATTCAAGTACTAATATATAATAATAATCTCAGGACAATTTACACAGCGACCATTACCATTTAGACTGAAGTTAAGTAATTAATAACATTATCTGTGGTTTAACTGTCAGATTGTTTGGTATGTATTCATATAGTGTTTAGGTATTGTGTATGAGTATGTATTTGTATATCATATTATATATTCCTTATTTGTATATGTATGTATGTAAATGTATATATATGTTTATATTTATGTATTATTGTAAATGTAATAGTATAAATATTATTATATCATTTTTTATGCCTTGATTTTTAAATTTTTTTTTGTTATGATTATTTTTGCACCGCCAACTATTTTTCTCTGTACTACCTATGGTTGAATAATATATTAAAGTTATATAAATAAATAAATAAATAAATTATCGAAGGAAAAATAGATGGAAAGAGAGGAAGGGGAAGACTGAGATACAGCTATATCAAGCAAGTTAAAGTTGTGTCGTATTAATAGAAGTGATAAAAAGACTGATAGAAGATCGTGGAAGGTGGGAGCTCCACCGACAAGAGCACAGCTCTTAAATTATGAATGAATGAAAGATATATAAGAATTAAAATTCTTCAGGTACCTTACCTATTAGGATAGTGTACACTTTCCTTCGGGGGAGGCATAGGGGTGGGTATCCTCCTACCTCCCTTCATCCCTCCCGAGACACTCATCGTATTCTCCCAGTTGTCCACGAACTGTGAAAAAAAAACAATATTTTAAGATACTCTAATGAATGAGCTGATTGTTACTGGGTTTTTTTTCTTTTCAGAGTCTACCTCCCCTTCGCTAAAAGTGTACCGACTACTTAGTTAAACTTATAGCTAGCTGGGTAGAGGATCCGGGATAAACTACTCCCGGATAATAATTTCCAGGCTTTGAACTGTTCAATTTTTGTCAGACATTTATTTAATCTATATGAGATACATTATAATATGACTAACTTTTGCACGCGGCTTCGCTCGCGTTAATTTATACCCTTAGGGGTGGAATTTATCAAAATATTTTCTTAGAGAAAGCTTTATGCATGCAAAGTCTCAGCCCGATCGGTTTAAAATTGACAAAATTTCATACAAACTTTCATCCCCCATTTTATCCCTTTGGGGGTAGAATTAATCAAAATACTTTCTTAGCGGATGCCTACGTCATAACATCTACCTGCATGCCAAATTCCAGCCCGTTCCGTCCAGTGGTTTGGGCTGTGCGTTGATAGATCACTATGTCAGTCAGTCGGTCACCTTAGAGTTATATATATTTAGATAAAAACAGTACTTTTTCTATATAGCGCTGGGGACAAACGAACATGCGGCTCACCTGATGGTAAGTGATTACCGCCGCCCATTAGCACCCGCAACACCAGGGATATTGCAAGTACGTTGTCTATTAAAGTAAGTGTTACAAACATAAGTACCATCTATAGCGTAGCTGTAACTTATAAGTATTCTAAAGATGCCGCTTAAATTTACAACTAAAATAACAACATATCTATGTATTTATATCAGTAGTTTACTCATAACACAAGCAGTGCTTACCTTGGTACTAAGAAAAAAAAATCTATAATAATAATAATTTACTTTTTTAATTTTATATTTATATTATGTATGATGTATGTATATGTATTTATATTATGTGTGTATTTATATGTATATATGGATATATATGATATATTATATATGATATATTACTATTGTTATTTCTATCTATTCATTCCATCTACGCCATCCACCACCTTCTGTCTTTTCTCCTCTACCCAAAGGTTGTCTGGAAGAAATCACTTTAGCGATAAGACCGACTTTTGTACCTAGCCTACATTTCTGTGTATTATGAATATTGTTTTTTATTGTATTGTTTTTGAGGTGCAATAAAGAGTTATAAATAAATAAATAAAAAAAAAAAATGTCAACTACAGAAGGCTGTAATTCTAAACACATGCCGAATTATCAGAAATTTTTACAAACCGATTAGACCGATATTTTTAGTAGATATGTTCACCACAAAATATTGCTATGTACTTGGCTTAGGCCCGTACATACCGGTACCGGTAAAATCCGAGAGAAAATTAATAAAAGTAATAATAATCTCAGGAGAATTCACACAGCGCCATCTAGACACAAGTTAAGCTAGCTGAAGCTTGTGTTATGGGTACTAGACAACTGATATAAATACTTAGATACTTTTTTGGAAATATATAAGTAATATATATAGAAAAGGTGAAGGGGATTGTTTGCAATGTGGACTCATGACCCCATTACTAGCAATGTACCATGTCGGGTTGACCTCCACGCGGTTCCCCCTGGAAACCATCGTGATAAATTCCTGGTGTATATATCACGATGGGTTAACTGATCTGACCTCATGTTCATCTTATCATCCTCCACTGGTGTCCCGCCAGCGTAAACCGTTAGCACAGGCGGGTGTACCATTCCATTTACAACCATAAAAAATATACATAGAAAACACCCAAACCGATACAAACAAGCATACTCATGAATACAAATGTTTGCACCGAGGAATCGAACCCGCGACCATCGGTAGTAAAGCGGTATGCTTAACCGCTACACCACTGGGATGATATGACAGGATAGTTAGTATATATTGTGTTTCAACACACGTACAGCTTATTTCGTATCTCTATCACTAGCGACTAATAATCATGGTGCGAGATGAATACAAAACAGACAATCTAATACAAACAGTCGTCATCAGCCGTAAACCGAAGCAGTAAGGTTCAGAATGCCGCAGTTCAGCTGGCTCGTGGTGGTGTACCTCGAGACATATCCTTCAAAGAGAGGTGCCATTGTAATAGTCCTCAAAGCCTCTAGCTGTTGTTGTGATGCGCTAAATACAGCGCTGGTGTAAAAAGGGTTTTTGCTGGATACAGTAATGTAATGAAGAAACTCTGCGTAGATAGTATGTAATATTATATTATCTGTGGTTTTATACATAAAACTATCTACGCAGAGTTTCTTCATTTGATACATAAAAACGTTGAGAAGTAGAGACAGACAAAATTTAGGATAATTAACTATATAGTTAAGTTTCGCACGGATATATAAATATAATAATAATAATAATAATAATCTTAGGACAATTCACACAGCGCCATCTAGACTCAAGTTAAGCTAGCTAAAGCTTGTGTTATGGGTACTAGATAACTGATACAAATACATAGATATTTTTTTTTTGTAAATACATACATATTATACATAGAAAACACCCAGACCGATACAAACAATCATACTCATGAATACAAATGTTTGTGCCGTGCGAGGAATCGAACCCGCGACCATCGGTCGTAAAGCGGTGTACTAGACCGCTGGACCACCGAGGTCGTCAAAATATGGAATATCTAAAGTAATCAGTAATTTTAATTATAACTAGCTGTTCCCGCGACTTCGTCTGGAATTTTGCAACATTACTTTATTTTTCTAAAATAAAAGTAGCCTAAGTTACTCCTTATTACATCAGCTACCTGCCAAAAAGTCCCATCAAAATCGGTGCAGCCATTTCAGAAATTAGCCGGAACAAACAGACAGACAAAAAGTGTAAAAAAAAATATTTTGGTGTATGTATCGTATTTATATCCATAGGCATGTAGTAAAAAACGGTTATTTCAATATTACAAACAGACACTCCACTTTTATATGTCCTTACACAGGAGATATATGTAAATGATGGCTGGCTCATCCGTCATACTCGTGAACGAGTGCTACTTGTAGGGACTGGTCTTCTCTTATCACTACGACTGATTTAATCTTATTGCATGATTATATTTGACCCAAAAAATTAGTGCTTGTTGGTAGTTTGTATTCACACGTTTCGACTTGTAAATGTAAACTTACAAGGGTTATTTAAAAGAGCAACACACAAGTTTCTTGCTCGTTCTTCTTGTGATGAGACAGCTTTCCGAACGAGTGGTAGATAAAAAACAAATTGTTATGACTATTCAAAAGTGCTTAAATTAAGTTTATTTGAATAAATGATTTTCTATTCTATTCTATTCTAAAAAATAAAGGCAACAACATTTTCCCGGACGTATCAATCCAGCAACACTACGTCCAATAGCCACACAGTTACAGCACTTCGCTAGATTGGCCATTCTCATTTTATCACCTCCATACCTAACTATTCTCCATTTATAAATATTTCAACAAACCGCCGTGAACTTGAGGCCGTCTCTGATTAGTGGACTACCCAACTTAGAACCTCAAGGTACAGAGTTCAATTCTGAGCGACACAATTTTTTATGTGTCCATTCAACAACATCGACAGTTGACAGCGTCTCTGACTGCTCCGTCTGGGATTACAAACGTGATGTTTAATTGTATTACTAGCTGTTCCCGCGACTTTGTCCGCGAGGAATTTAACTTTGTTATTCTAAAATAAAAGTAGCCTAAGTTACTCCGTATTACATCTGCTCCCTGCCAGTAAAAGTCCCGTCCCGTCAAAATGGGTACAGTCATTCCAGAGATTAGCCGGAACAAACAGACAGACAAAACCCTTATGAAACCTTAATATACCCTTCTTAAAAAACCTATGTATCTTTACAGTATTATAGCTTATAAATTAGAGTTTAATGTGGGTGAAACCGTACGCATAGCTGATCTTCTTCTATCTAAATATATATAACTCAAAGGTGACTGACATAGTGATCTATCAACGCACAGCCCAAACCACTGGACGGATCGGCCTGAAATTTGACATGCAAGTAGATGTTACGACGTAGGCATCCGCTAAGAAAGGATTTGATTAATTCTACCCCCAAAGGGATAAAATAGGGGATGAAAGTTTGTATGAAACTTTGTCAATTTTAAACGGATCAGGCTGAGACATTGCATGCATAAATAAATATATGCATAAATACCGAACTGGACGGTAGGGAAAAAATAAAATTATAATGTAAAAATTTGACGTTCATAAGCGGCTATAAGCTCCCACATGAATAAATGATTTTTGAATTTTTTTAATTTGAATTTTTGAATAAAGCTACTATGACGTAGGCATCCCCCAAGAAAGGATTTTGACAAATTCCACCCCTAAGGGGATAAATTAACGCGAGCGAAGCCGCGGGAAAAAGCTAGTTGTAATATAAGTTTAGATGTAATGACAACCCTAATAGACTGCCAATGTAACGACCTAACTCAGCAACGCTGGATTATCTTTTCGGCACAGATTGGCTTAACTCAGTAGGGTTGTCAAAGGGACCGACGCAGCATCGGTGTATTACTCACCGTTGTACCGTCAAAGAGATACCTCTGTCTGGGTACTTGAATTTTGTTTATTTATTTGGGTCAGCTTTGCGTGGACTGTATATATAAATGTTATCATTACATAGTATGAAACAAAGTCGCTGTCGCTGTCTGTCCCTATGTCTGCTTAAATCTATAAAACTGCGCAACGGATTTTTTAATAGATAGAGTAATTCAAGAGGAAGGTTTATATATTTATATTTATAGTTATATATATAATACATGTACACGTGCGTAGTCGGGGCTAGTAGCTAGAAATATTAAAAACACGAAAATTTGTGATTATTGATGTTTGTACTCTTTTACGCAAAAACTACTGAACGGATTATGATGAATATTTACAGTAATATAGATTAAGCATCAGAATAACACATTTATTTAAATTTAACACGAATGAAACAGTTAGTATATAATATTTTTATCAGAGCTTCGTCGTGGTGCTCTGGAAT